TCATGTGAATGTGGACTTTTTTTCTTAATCAACCGAAAGTTTATTTGTACTCGTAAAAAAGAAATATACTGAAATACACAGACAAAAAATCTAAAAAACATGAAAAGGAAAAAAAAGTCCAATAAATATAGTATAGGAAAAATAGGTGAAAATGAGACCTACGTAAAACAATGTCAAAGGCTGAAGAATAAATGGGTGGGGATTGAAAGATGCCTACCATAATTGTGAAAAACAAGAAACAAGAAGGAAAGGTGGATCTGCCATAATCCGAAAATGAATTTTTCATTCAATGCGGCTGCTACCATGTTTCCCAACACACACACACGCATATATATATATATATATATATACACAAATCACATGCTAAATAATCCTTAACCTAATCTGGAAACCCTAGGCTAGACATCACGATCCCTTGCGGAAAAAAAAGAATTTGCTGAGACGGAACAAAAGATATCAAATTTCTACCAAGATAGGACAAGATGACAGCTCATTCAATGCTTTTCCTCGTCCTGCATGGCATCTTCATGTCCTTTGTGAACTGATAGCTGCTTTAAATTTTTCATGTCATCATTCTTGATAATGTTGACTTCATTACTCTCAATAGGGATCAGAGACTTGCGACTTGCTTCTGGTCTTTTAAATAGAAAGCAAATTGTCAGAATAGAGCATTAGTGAATATCTGGAAATTAAGTAGAAATCACGTTAACATCTGCAAATGAGTTCTTGAACTTGATTCCAACTTCCATTTGTTTTGCAAGTCAACAGAAGGTCTAATTGGTGGTCTTCTTCAACCTCCCCAACTGCCGCAGCTGTCATTGGGAGCAACAGATCTAGGGGTAAAACCGTTGGGTTGCTATTTAATCTATCATTTTTATTCTATTATTTATGGTTAATGCTTTGGTTTGTAAGGAACTAAAAAGATTTTTCATATATTATTCTTTTTGTGAATTAATTTGAAATAAATATTTTTTTTCGGTTAAAAGTCATAACTTTTGTATTTGAAAACGGAAGTTTTGTTGATGAAAAATAAAAAAAATATGTTGTTCTTTTAAACTTAAATAAAAATCTTCTATTTTTCAAATTTTTTTCAAATGTGAGTATCAATTGGCACTCGAGTAGTACTAGAAATTTATTAACGAAAGGCATTTCAAACTAAAAATCTACATACTAAAAATATATTTTCAATAAAAAACCATAAATGTTTGGGCTCAATATTTCATCCCCGGACGCCCAATATTTTCAATAAAAAACGAAAGGCATTCGTCACTAAAGAGCTCTCTTTATATAACAACAAAGTTGATTAACTAAATAAACCACACTTAAAAAAAAAAAAAAAAGCATTTTACGCACATAATCCTTTTTGATTCTTTGGCGGTGGAAGTCGTCCGGGGGTGTCCCTCCAGCTGAAAGGATCCATCTTGCCTAATAACAACAAGGTTTCCACTTTTAGCTACATGGTCAAGATTTTTAACAAAAAATCAACTTTAAATATACAATACAGATACCAATTAGAACAATAAAGTTTGCATTTTTAACTATGTTTTTTGTAATAAAAAATAACTTTTCATATAAACAATGTGGGTAAAAATGAGACAAAAAAATAAGAAATGCGGGGAAAGAAAGAACAAACAGATTAAGATTGGGAGAAACTCGGAGAGGAAACAGGTTGAGAGGAGTGCATGTCAGGTTATATATTTGATCTTGAAACTTGAATTATTAATTTACGAAAATGTCAGTTCCATATACAAACATTTATGGTTTTTTATTGAAAATATATTTTTAGTATGTAGATTTTTAGTTTGAAATGCCTTTCGTTGATAAATTTCTAGTACTACTCGAGTGCCAATTGATATTTACATTTAACAAAAAATTGAAAAATAGAAGATTTTTATTTAAGTTTAAAAGAACAACATAGTTTTTTTATTTTTCATCAACAAAACTTCCGTTTTCAAATACAAAAGTTATGACTTTTAACCAAAAAAAAATATTTATTTCAAATTAATTCACAAAAAGAATAATATATGAAAAATCTTATTAGTTCCTTACAAACCAAAGCATTAACCATAAATAATAGAATAAAAATGATAGATTAAATAGCAACCCAACGGTTTTACCCCTAGATCTGTTGCTCCCAATGACAGCTGCGGCAATTGGGGAGGTTGAAGAAGACCACCAATTAGACCTTCTGTTGACTTGCAAAACAAATGGAAGTTGGAATCAAGTTCAAGAACTCATTTGCAGATGTTAACGTGATTTCTACTTAATTTCCAGATATTCACTAATGCTCTATTCTGACAATTTGCTTTCTATTTAAAAGACCAGAAGCAAGTCGCTAGTCTCTGATCCCTATTGAGAGTAATGAAGTCAACATTATCAAGAATGATGACATGGAAAATTTAAAGCAGCTATCAGTCCATGAAGATGCCATGCAGGACGAGGAAAAGCATTGAGTGAGCTGTCATCTTGTCCAGGTTTCCAGATTAGGTTAAGGATTATTTAGCATGTGATTTGTATATATATATATATATGTGTGTGTTGGGAAACATGGTAGCAGCCGCATTGAATGAAAAATTCATTTTCTGATTATGGCAGATCCACCTTTCCTTCTTGTTTCTTGTTTTTCACAATTATGGTAGGCATCTTTCAATCCCCACCCATTTATTCTTCAGCCTTTGACATTGTTTTACGTAGGTCTCATTTTCACCTATTTTTCCTATACTATATTTATTGGATTTTTTTTCCTTTTCATGTTTTTTAGATTTTTTGTCTATGTGTATTTCAGTATATTTCTTTTTTACGAGTACAAATAAACTTTCGGTTGATTAAGAAAAAAAGTCCACATTCACTTGATATTTCATTTCTTCCTTGAAGATAACAAAATAAATCAAATATCTCTACATGTAATATATATATTCATAACTTATTCAAATTTTGTTGTCATAACCCGAGTTTTTTTTTCATATACAAATTATTATATTTTATAAATACAATAATGCATAGTCTTAAAAAGTAAAAACTAAAATCATATTCAAATATGTTTTTTAATGTATCATAAGTATTATAAATAACTATAAGTTAAATGATAAATAAATTGAGTATTCAAATGAAATAAGTTAAATAATTATGTCATATCCATCATTAGTTCAAATTTTTAAACAAGTATATTATTCAAGTTCAAATTTAAACTTTATAAATGAAATACATGTATATAATCATCCTGAATTGTTAATCGGAAAAATAACGAAATACCCAATATATTTGGCAAAACTAAACATTACTATATTAGAACCATTTTCTTGGGAATATTTTATATAGATTCTACAACATATCTCGAGTAGTATATTAATTATATTATATTTAAGGATAACTCTATTTTTATTTTTATTTTTCTAATTAGACTCAGTTTAGATGGTCATTAATAAGCAATATTATTACTCATTAGACATGTATTCTGCTCATTGGAGCTTTAACTCACTCACATTATGTTTCCTTATTCATTATTTTATTATTACTATATAACAATGATATGAATTCAAGTTAAATATTTAGTGGATGTAGCAATTTTAGTTGTGTCAAGAAATATTTTACAATATAATTAATCTAGGACATTTTTAGGATTTTCAAATATCTTATAAATTGTGTGGAACTACTTATGCTTATATTGTATTTTAATGTATACATGTAATTATAAAAATATGTATATTTATTACAATAGCATGATTTCCTAATGGTACGCAGCCTAAGAGAAAAATTATTATAAGATAAATAATGATGGTGTAACTATGTCTTTTTAAATAATTATTAAAACTCAATTACGCTAATTATTGGCATGTATTCATTCATTTGACATCATGTGCACAGATTGCCAATATAAATATGGAGAATCAACAATTTTGGTACAATAAATTTTACTAATACCATATTTATGACTTATGAGAGAAATTCAACGGACCTTTTTAATCAGCTTTTATATAGTAAATTTATATTTTAACTAAAATAATGGTTATTATAAACAAAACTAATATTTTTTTATTTTTTTTTTGGGGTACATAGAGGGAGGCCAGGGGCCTAAGATATTATGCTAGAACTCGTGGGTGATGAGATACCCCGATGATATCATGATCAAGCCATGCCTTTTAACACTTTTATTTTATTATATAGTTACTTTTATAAGTATACCAATTCAATTTAACTAACTTTGCAATAACACAAAATTTATTCTAAAAAACGTAATACATGTGAGATTTTTTTTTATTTTTTATTTTTTTACATGTTGTTCATCATGTGCATCATACGGGTGAGGATACTAGTAAATGTTAATATGTAAATTAAAAATTGTTTATATTATCATTTCTAATAATGATAAAATTTATAAAATGTAATATGTTCATTACCTAACTTATGATTTTAAATATTACACACATTTAACATATAAAAATTTATTTGTATTGTGTATGTGCATATAATTGAATACTAATATTGTAAATTACGTCTAGGTGTCTTTAAATATTTTATGAAATGTTGTTTAAGAAAACCAACAAGTTTAATGAACATTAAATCATTACATTAACTGACTTACTTGAAATTAGTTAAATGTTATCTCATCAATTTTTGTCAGTTATTTGAATTTCTTTTTTTTTTTTTCCAATTATTTGGTATTTAGAAGAAGAGAAATTGAAAGGAAAAATAAAAATTAACAAATAAAATCAAAAGCAGGGTATGGTACCATCACTGGAAGAGGTTTAATTTTTTAACCTGTCGAGAGTAGAGTCAGAAGACTCAGAATCCTCTGGCGTCTGAACCATGCCATTTTAAGCGGTTCTCTTTCTTTTGTTCACTCTTCTCCGAACTTTTTTATGAGCTCCAACTGTTCAGTTGATCTTCCTAAATCAGGTAATATATTAACTTTTCCTCTACCCGTATCTTGCTTTTCAGCATAAAATCGGGAATTTTGATTTGTTGCTTTTCAGAAATAGGTTTAATAATATTTGGGTTGGAGTTTTCACATTCTGTTTGCAACCCTGTTCACTGAGGTCGGTTTAGATTACTCATTGTTTCGAATTTTGTTTGAACTTTTTTTTTAACTTAATAACTTTTCGAATATGGTGTTGATATAAATTTTATTTTGTGTAGGTATCCACTTTTTCATTCCTTTAAATTATTGTTGTGGTCAGGTACCGTAATACACTCCATAGCTATAGTGTGTGAAACTTCTCTCAAATTTGATAAAGGAGATAAATCACTAAGAGGGGTGTATTAAAATTAAAGTCCTGCTTATAGTTTAATGAACATCTTGAATATTTAGATTCATTTATTTGTTTCTTTCTTTTAAATCAACTAGCTAACGCATTTTCAACAAGTCTTGGCTGTAGTTGGTTCAACACGGAAAGCCTGTGGTAATGATGGGGAATGACACATGGGCATAACTGTTATCGCATTATTTCATGACATATTTTCCCTATCCTTCTTTTCAATGTGAAAGACCTTGATACAGTATATTTCCTTCAGGGTTCAAGTATTTGCTTACCAATTGAGAAACATAAGTTGCAGCTCTTTACTGGATTTCTAATTAAATGTTCTTGAGTTTTGCCTATATTTTCTTTTGTGTGCTTGGAAGTTGAATTCTCAATGTCGATTCCTTTAGGTAGACAATGGGTGCATCACAAACCTACTCCTGACCTGTATGAATTAGACTGGGATAGAAAAGTTGGAACAATATAATGAAATAATAAAGGTACTTCTTCTGTACACGAGTGTGTGTTTATGATCAGCATTTGATGGTCATTACTAACCTGCTGAGCCTCTAAAAAGCAGTTCAAGTGAGACTAAGGTCTCTAAAATCTATATTGATCATGGGACCTTCCTTTACCTGCTCTGTTGATTTGGGCTTCCCTGAACTTAGAAACACCCTGACTATCTATTCTGTAATTGGATATTTTCAATGTTTATTGCTTTATGCTGTGGGCTTCTAAAATAGTGTGTTTTGGTATGGATAACTATAAAAAGATAGGTCTGTTCGACCAGTGGGCTGTTATACATACATGTGCACGGGTGTGTTCAGAATTTGTTCATAATTTCATTTGTTATGTAAGAACACATGTTTTTCTATCTCTTGTTCTATACATATGTTCTATACATATTATTTTTCTCGACTCCATCTGTTGGTTCAACTTTGTAGGCTTTCTTTCTAAATGAGAATTCTCTGTAAGATTACGTCAGGTAATTGTTTTTTCTTAAAAAAACTTATATCTCTAATTTTCACAGTCAACTTAATCTCTAATTTTCTAAATGAGAATGTGGGTTAACATGACAAAAAGACACTTGTGATGTTTTCTGAATCATATCCCGTTGATAGGGAGCTTCATCATACTAAATTGTCACTCGTGGATCCTACTTATCATGGAGGTTAACTATGTCCTGTTTGTTGATGTTTTTGTTTTTTTCTAGTTTTATCTGAGATTTGATTTTTGTGTCAACTTGCATTTTGTGGATATGATTTTTTTTTCTAATTGTGATAATTGTTATTTCTTAAGACATTTGGTAGAATTCATGTGAATACGTGATGTAACAAAAGCTATATTCAATCTTTATATGTGCTTTTTGTAGTATTTAATCTCTGTCTTATCTTAGTTGTAGATTTTATTGTTTTGTGTTGTACTGCTGTAGTATATTATTATTTGTGTTAAACCATGCTAAAAAAAAATAATGATACATAAAATCCAGTATTATTTGTCCGACCAGTGATTTCGGTTTCATGGTTTGCTGCAGGGGAATATTGTTCTCGTTGCGAATTTTACAGTTGTCGTCCGAGTCCAGGATTTCGTGCTGGGTTTTATCCTTTGTAATCTATCTTCTTCTTTGTAACCATCTTCTTACTTATTATATATGTTTTTCTGTTGGAAATTGATTAATTTGTAATTACTTGTATTTCCTGCAGAAAAAGGATCTGTGAGATGATCATATTGTCTGAACAAGATGCTACCGAGTTTGCAGAATTCGTAATACAGGACTACAATGAGAAAAATGTTTTAGTCCACTTAACCCGCTTTTTGAGTTTTATTTTTTGTTTTTTTTCCATGACACGTTCGTAACCTATCTTTTTTTTCCTTTTTTTTTTTAAAAAAAAAAATTACTTGATAAATATACTAATCCAGGGTACGAACTTGAAGCTTGAAATGGCTCTGGAATGCAATAAGTTTGAACGCCTTGGTGTCTTAATGGATTTCATCACTAAAAAGAAGAGGACTTGGGTGCATATGAACTTGGATGCTAGAATGGGCCCCAAAGAGGAATTACTCGTTTTCTTTGTCGAGTTCTATTTATCGGATGATGAGTATGTGCTTGCAAAGTTGGCACTGGTGAATACTTCAGACTATCAGCCTGTTAGTAAAAAGGATGGTAAATGAACACCACTGGTTACAATTATTATTGCATTATTATTTTTGTTAACAAGTTAATATTATTCTTAAAAAAAAATCATTTGTGATTCTGTGCAGGGCTTTGGTGTCGTTTTTGCCCGGATGGTATTCTTCATCCAATGGAAGGGTGTTTTTTTAATTTCTACTCACCTCATGCTTCAGTTGAAAATTTGCTAGAAAAAGGGCATGAAAGCTAAATTATGCTTTTGACTAAATGAACTTAGACTGCTTTTGACTAAATGAACTTAGAACTCTGAAGTCAGAACTCTGAAGTCTCAATGTAATGTTTCGCAAGCCATTTCTTGTTATGTATTATGCGGGTTGCTAGAATATAAATGTTATGTATTATGTCGGTCGCTAGAAATTTATATATGTATGATATTCTTGGTTGCTTGATTATCCCTCGACCCGTTTCTCTTAATTCTAATTAATGTAATCTAAGATAAATGGAACAAAATAGGATAGTCGGAGAAAGACCTCCTTTTGTTAGTTTCGGCATAGGTTATTGTCCCTCATAAATGTTCGAGGGAGGTCAGGGTTGGAGAGGGTTGAAAATGAGCTGTGTAAATTATGCTTCGACTTGATATGAAATGATGTAATAGATATGATAAGAGTATTCATACCATATTTACATGTAGAAAAACCTCTAGAATTTTGAGTCGCATGCCACTTCATCACAAGTAGAATTAAAAAACACATTACTGGATAAGTTTTTTATTTTAATTTCTCTAGAATTCTCCAATTAAAGGTCAAAGAATATCCGTTCATTGAAATAAAGACGTGTGCTATCATTAACCAAATATCTGGTTATTGATATAGAGTGGTTACCAAAAAATAGAACGCGATAAGGACGCTTTATGGAAATATCAATTGGATAAGGTTATAACAGATCACTAGTACATTTTAACGATAAAAAGTCAGATAGAATGATTTATGATAATTATGTCGTAATTAATGAATTAATTAGATGTGTGAAAATGACATAATTAATGAGAAGTGTGAAAAGGACATAATTAATGAGAAGTGTGAAAAGGACAAAAACTTGCCGGTTTTGAAAAATATTTAATGCAAATCCGACATTGATCATAATTTAACCTACTATTTTGGATAAATGTTAATTCTTATTATATAAGTATAGAATTACCATTTAAGAGATAGTGATTAGATACGTTAAATTGTTTTACTGATGGTTAAAAACTAACATTGAACTAGATCAACTGTTTTTTAGAATTTATTTGTATATAGTTGACAACTATGATTATTTTTTTTAACACTTTGTTATTTTGATTTCTTTCTATAATGAAATTATTGTAAAATATATTTTTATTGCACAGTATGCTAAATAAACTATAAATTTTTATATTGAAATTAAAAAAATTTTAATTATAGAAATGATTGGGATTTTGACATTTGCTAAATTGAAGGTGTTGAATTAGTATACAAAATTATATTATAAAAATACATATGCGTATATTTTATAAAAGTCCCTAGGAGCTGACCAAACGTGCACCTCCATGGTGCTGAAAAGGATGCCCTTAGTTGCACTTTCAAAATAATCGTTACATGTCCCTTGTCTATTATGAGTCGCCCGTCACGCCCATCACTTTCAAAATAATCGTTACAAGTTTCACTAATTTTTGCCTTTTAATTTATGCTAAAAACATCGAAGTAGATTTATAATTTAGCTTGAAGAGTAAGTTAATCAATTTTCAATAAGAAATAAATAAAAAATAAAAATAATAGTGCAGTTTTAAAAGCAGGAATATTGATGCAATTAACCATAAGAGCATTTCCAACGGTGCTTCAATTGCAGAAATCTAAGTATTAGGAAAGACTTCTCCAACGGTGAATTATTTGTTTCTATTTTGTATGATGTGGCATGAGAGAGGTTTAAAAATTTTGGAACTCTTTCCACATCTCAAGGCTCTGTTAGACATATTGAGTCACTATTTTTGCTCCTATTTATCTTTTATTTCTAATTAAAAATTATAATTAAGTTGGAAAGAAGGTAACTGTACGAGAAATTTTCTGTATACACTATCAAAAAAGCAAATTAATTTACGTAAAAAAAAATAAATGAAAAAAATTGATGCATTTCTAAAATTATATTATAAATTTAATGGTATACAAAATAAAAATACCGATGAATGTAAATACCTGATGAATATCAATGATGGAGATGTTCTTAAAACAAAATACGGTAAAATACCTGATGAATATATCTAGATGTTCTTACAAAAAGAAAAAATACAGATGAATGTGTAGATGCATTTCTAAAATTATATTATAAATTTAATGGTATACAAAAAAAAATACCGATGAATGTAAAATACCTGATGAATATGGAGATGTTCTTAAAACAAAATACGGTAAAATACCTGATGAATATATGTAGATGTTCTTACAAAAAGAAAAAATATAGATAAATGTGTAGATGGGTGATAGCAAATTCAAAATGAAGGTTCAACCTTTGAATTAAATTCACCAAAGATATGTATCCATTTTTTTAGGATGACAAAAGAAAAACGTCGGTGTATAAAAACACGTGTAAAAACTGTCCACGCAGAGTCTTCTATTTCATTGACTCGTGAACTACAATTCACATCCATCATGAAAGATGCTCATTGTACCGCCAAAAAACCCTAACGGCCCTAACCCTACCTCTATTTAAACCCTTCCAAACCCAATACGAAACATTCCAAATCACACTCGTCCATCCATAAAGCCAAAAAAAAAAAAAAGGAAAATTTGACAAGGCAATTTGGCTGGCTCATGCTTTGGCTACCCTACCTTCCCCGGGTCGGAGGCTCGAGTCACTGGCCGGCGGAGCCCCACCGGTCGCCATCACCACGCAGTGGAGCCGAAGGCGACCTGCTGAGTCTTCGAAGTGGCGTCAAGCCGTGAGTTGGCCCTGCTGCAACTGAAGCCGTCGACCAAAAGTTTAGCTACTCTCTGGCCTTAAGGTATGCCGCCCCGTACTGTGTTTTGTGAGTCTCAGATTAGGGATTTAGATGAAATTGTTGATTTTGGGTTGTGAATTCAACTGTTTCTGTTTGTAGTTTGATTGTAGAGCTGAATTTGACTGTCACTGTAAAGAAAATTCATGACTTAGGTGAGTTTTTTTCTTGTAACAAATTGTGATTAGAGGTGTAAACTAGCCGAACTCGAGCTCATGTTGCTGGAGCCGTAGGTTGAGCAATTACAATCTATACAAGATGGAAAATAAATTTTGTGAAAAGATAATTGCTATTACTATGCGAGAAATACATGGTTCTCTGTTTTCATAGTTGTATTAATTCTGTTCTAGGCAAGTATTTCACTATAAGCCACAACAAATAGCTGCCTACAAATTCCTTTCATTACATTGTGTGCCGAGAACCCTTGAAGTGGAAAAAATGAAATTCAAACTCTTGTGGTCACTTACATGACAAGTATGCAGACTATTTAAGGATCTTTCAGTTTCTATAATTGTGTGGTTAATAGACACAGATTTCGCTCCACTCTTATTTCTCTAATCCCAGAAGTCACATTGCTGTAAATGGCTTTGACTTATTTTTCTTTATACTAACAATAAGGATTTTGGGTACACAGATGTTTTTTCACTTAATATCTATTTCCTTTTAACCTAACCAAGAATACAACAAGGGAGGAGCATTTATGTTAACACTTTTCAACATGTTTGTTAAATGCTACTCTACTAGTAAATGATCTATAACAATTAAGTATAGGATTCTTCAAGGTGTTTTATTCAAAATTGGGCTTATTTTTGCAGCTTGATTTTACTGCCATTGTGTCTGCCCTGCTTGGTATTCCTTTTCCTTTTGGAAGGTATGCAATTCAAATATAATATGAAGCATCTATTGATTAGCTTTATTTTTTTCATCTCACATCATTGTGCGTGATTGCTGATATATATCATGAAGGATTCTTTGTCCCCCATACCTCTTTAGATAATAACATAATTCCTTATAACATGAGTGTGTGTTTATGATTTGCATTTGATGGTCCTTACAGCTGCTGAGCTTCTGATGCAGTTTGAGTGAGACTAAGGTTTGTAAAATCTCTACATTCAAACAGAGTTTGAGCAAAAGTTTTATTCAAATAGATTATTTTATTGAAAATTTTGGCTAAGCTTAGGTGATATAATTGGAGCTCGTGAATCTGTAGATTCTTGTAGAGTAGAGCCCAGTGATTAAAATAGCGCGCCATGGCGCGAGGCGAGGCGAGGCGAGGCGGGGCTTCGACGCCTCATACCCTTGAGGCGAGGCGGCCTTGTGAAAGGCGACGCCATGGCGTCGCCTCTGATGTAGCGTTGCGTAGCACGAGGCGACGCCTTACGAAAGTGAGGGGAGGGATCGGCAGTTTAGGTATTTTTAAATCTAGGGTTTCATTTACCCGAGATTAAAACTTATCAATTAACAAAAATTACTTACCAAACTACAAAATTACCATGTGCCTTTTGTTCCACCGGCGATGGGGACCATATTCCGGCAGCTAACCGGTGACGGCGACGGCGAGCGGTATGTGTTCCAGATTTTCCTTTTCTTCTTCTTTTTCTTTTTTCCTTTCTTGCTTCAGTTATTTTTCACCAGCACGGCGATAGTGCCTGTTGTGTAAGTCGCCGATTCTGGCTAAACTTCCGTCGCCGGTGGTCGGCGGTGCTGACAGCAGCCAGCCGGCCAGATGAAAAGAGGATGAAAAGCGAACAGGTGGTTGGGCTTAACATGTTTTTTTATTTTCTATTTTTATTATTTATTTTGTTTATTTATGAATGTGGAGCATTAACTTGGTTTTTAATGAACAACAGACATTATATGATTATTTTAATTGGGAATTTGGCACAATATGGGATTGTGGGGTGGGTTGATGTTTATTTTAATTGGGATCATGTGGGTTTATGATATCTCTATTTGTAGTTTATTTGATGTTGTTTTTATTTTAATGTGTGGTGTTTTATTGCTTGTTTATTAGCTATTATAATTTATTTTTATATACATTATTGTGTCATAATTTGGTAAAATGTCACATGTACATATATTTTTATTTTTTGTATAATGGCTCGCCTCGCTTTCATAAGGCGGGCGCCTCGCTGCACGCCTCACGCCATGGCAAATTCGAGCCTTGTCGCCTCGGCTCGCCACGCGCTATTTTAATAACTGACAAGTACAACCATATCCATGATTAATATTGCTTCCTTCAACAAATTTGTCCCCTGCAACAAACCAACAAAACCGAAACAAACACTCAGCATAAAACTAGAAAAAGCTCTAACTTGCTGAGGCATATTTAAACTTTAAGAGTGATTACAAGTTTTCGTTCCATCACATGATTTCTCCAAGCATCACCGAAAAAAATATCAAAAATAGAAAAGAGGAAAACGAATCATATCCACATAATGCAAGAAACTTCAAATTGCGGAGAGAGCAAGAAAAAACAAAAAACATCAGCAAACGGGGATACAGTTCACCTGAATAATAAGAGGGCTCCACGAGAGACAATTTAGTGTGCTTAAGCTCCCTAATATCGTGATATGATTCAGCGAAGAACACGAGTGGCTTTTTTTGCTTTTTGTTACTGGAACCCACCTTTTTACGCCTAGCCACAAAATTGGAATGCTTCCAAAGTCTGCGGATTAGCGTAAAATCAACTCCAACACCAAGGGTCCACGTACACCATACATTGCCTTCCAATACCCTCACAAGCTCCAAGTCAGTCCCCTAGAAATTTAAAAAATATATATAAAATTAAGTATCAAACAAAACTGCATAGTTCCAATTGCAGGGGAAACCATAAAATATGAGGGGACGAAAAATTAATAACATGTTTCTTGTTGTAGTCCCTTAATGCAAGCTCTGCCCCCTCCTCCCATTCCTCGATACGCTGTCTTACGGGCCTGCGAGATCGACAACAAGATAAATCACAACATAGAAATATTTATGCGTTATCAATTGTATAAGCACAACCATATTAAGGAATTCACAAGTTAACTAGTGACAGATTAGCATTACCAATATCATAAGCCGGAAAAAAACATGGAGATGGTGAAAATGAATCAGCGCAGATAAAGAATCAAACAAAAACATCAAATTCACAATAGAAGCAATGCCCTAATTCGAAGAAAAAGTTCGCAAAGGATAAAGAAGTCCACAACTCACCCGCCGGCTTTAGTTGATACTGGACGGGTCTGTTTATACCGCATGGCTGGGAAGGGATCAATGGAAACGGAAAAAGGAAACACAAGAAAAACTCGATTCGATTGATATTAGAACGGCTCCTGCAGAATTAACGATTGAAATTCTCAGTCGCTGATCGTAATACAATAGTTATTCAGAATTAAATTCCGGATTCTACTTGAATAGGGATTTATGGTAGGTAGAAAACCTTGTCCGATACGATTCGCCGGAAAAAGGCACAAGCGATTGAAGGAAGGGAGAAAACCATACCTGCAGAATGTGTTGGAGCGTGTTGATAGCTGCCGACATTGATTACCTAGGGTTTGGAATATGGCTTTAGTTTAATGATATTCAACCCAATGTTATTGGGTTGCCAATACTCTATTGCTGGACTATTGATGGGCTTGGAATATGGCTGTTAATGATACTCAACCCAATGTTATTGGGTTGCCAATACTCTATTGCTGGACTATTGATGGGCTGGACAATTTTTATCACGAGAAATTAACTGCTAAAAGACAATACCATTTCCATGAAAAAAAAACGAGAAAATTACCTACTGGACGGTACCGTAGAAGTTTTACTCCCTATTTACGATTAAAAAAGACTAATATCAAACTTAATTTTTATTTGCCTTTAGAACGAGAATAACATTCATTTAGTTCCACTTGACTTCTATTTGGATTAATAGCACTCCTCCCCATTTTTTCTTGGTAGGGTGGAAGAATCAACTTCGCCATCATCATCACAGTGCGTCCTCTCCCTCCTTCGCTTCGCCATGCACCACCAGCGGGGGTTCTCCATCTTCAGCTCCACCAGAACCTTCGTCAACGTCACCCGTTATGCGAGGTCCTCTCCCTCTTCGACCCCTTCCTCCCGCCGCCAGCCGCCTTGAGGCTCGGAATATAACTCGTCGAGGTGCAAGACGTGTAGTTGATATGGTGTAGTAAATTCTCCAATTACTGATTTAGGGTTTCATTAATTTTGATTTGTTTGGGAATCTCATTGATTCACATTTGAATTTCAGATCTGTGATTTGTTGGATTTTGTTTGAAATTTTGATTAATTTTCTTTTGATTTTTGAAACAAAGATTTTGATTTTTTTGGCTCAATTCTCGTCAGATCTCGATGCCAATGAGTTGGAAAATTGGTGACGGAATTTCAACGGCTCAAAAACCGATATACAAACCAAGCAGATAACCAAATTCTTCGCGGGTTGGGATGGTGTTCGAAGATCTGCCGGGATCGCAATGCTCGTTGGGTGTACCGAATATTGAGTTTGTTTATAAGTGTGAGATATACTTGTATTTTGATTTTGAACGATTTTGAGAGTAATTGATATTTAATTGATATTTATCCATCCACTATGTATTTTTTTGCCTTATTTGTAGTTTATTTTTAGTTTTATTTGGTATATGAATTTATTGTCAATTTGTTTTTTTAATTTAATAAAAATCTGATAATAAACTTAAGATAAACTATTGAGATAATGTAATAAGCCTAACATAAATTAAAAATAAACTAAAAATAATCTGAAAAGTTCATAGAAAAAAAAAGTTGATTTAACATAACATCAACTAAAAATAAACTAAAAATAATCTGAAAAGTTTATAAAAAAAAAAAAGTTGATTTAACATAACATAAACTAAAAATAATATGAAGCGTTCATAGAAAAAAAAAAGTTGATTTAACATAGAAAAGCTGTGTGAATAAAAAAATGGAATTGTTACAAAATGATCGTATTATGGAAAAAAAATTTAGATGAGTATCTTGGTGTCCTTAAGCAAAAAAAAACTGATTTGGGAGAATTCCAAAATTAATTATTCCATTCCAATACAATATAAAATAATTAACTAATTATAACTGTCAATTTAAGTTACAGAACAATAAATTAAAAAATTAAATTAATACTACCTCTTTTTTTATAAACTAGTAATCAACCTGTGCATTTGCACAAACAAAAATACTTTAAAAAAATAACAATATAAAAAAAATAATAAATCATAATTTAATTCATGAAAAAATATGAATTAAGAAAATAATTCTCAAAATTGATTTTGATCAAGTAATTGCTATGGAAGAGCCGTTACAACCATTTTCTTTATGTTAATACATCCGGCCATTTCATTAGTGGGTGTGACTTAAAGTTTGAGTACAATTTTGTAACTCCCTTTATTAGTTTATGCTCATAATTTATGGCATTCAAGCAAGTTATTTTGTAACTTAAAAATGAAATTGAATGTTGAAAATTTTGGAGGGATAATAAAATTTAATGCATGATAATATAATTAAATGTTATGTTGCTCCTCTTTATATATATATATATGTGATTTTGGTTTTATCAATAATTAACCAAATAAATGACGTTTTGGAATTTTTGTACATATTTTTCCATTATTACCCTTATCTAGCTAATAAATACACTACGTCTTTCATATTCACTCTTCATATTTTCTCAAAACATCAATCTCTATCCTCATTAATAAGAGTTATTATTGGCAAAACAAATATTTTCAATTAATGTGCAACTTCTCAAAATGACACTTATTAAAAAAAGGAGGGAGTATCTAACTACTCTCTCTCATCCTCTTTTTTTTCTCTTTCTTCTTTATCTCTCCTACTTCTCTTTTCCCGATTTCTCTTTCTTCTTCCTTTTCCTTCTTCTTCAAACATGAATATCTAATGCGAGAAAAAAAAATAGATCAAAAAAGAGAAGTAGAAGAGATAAAGAATCATGTATGTGAACCACGAAGGTGGACAATCATGTATGTGAACCATGTATGAGAGAAAAAATAATAAAAAATAATAAATTTTTGTTTATAGCAACGACAAAAAAATAACATAACACCAATCAATTAACATAAAAACAACTGTGTGTACATTTAATAACAAAATACCCACCCCGATATCCCTTAAATCAAACCCAGATATCTTAAAAATTCTCAGCTTGAAATCCTAATCCTTTCATAATTGCTTGCTTCAAATCCGAGAGAGCTTTTTCTATATCTCTCAATTCAACTTTTACTAGTTTCATGATTTTTCTTTTTTACACCTGTATATACTCAATTAACATCAAGACC